TCTTTCTACTTTCCTTCTCTCTGTGTGTGTCTGTCTTTCTCTGGTCAAATTAAGAAAAGTGAATAGATAAATAAAATTCAATAAATAATTTTAGAAAATAACAAATGGAATTAAATAAATAAATTATTATTTTTTTAAAGGACAACGTGCTAGGGGCTGGCAGGTGGCATGGTATATATATACAAAAATGAAAATAAACAGGCACCTGTGTATGCATGCCCAAAATCCAAAGAGAATGGCAGAGAAGGGACTGTGTCACCCTTTCTCTGGCGAGCGCACATGCCTTATGCCAAAAAATCTTTAAAAAAACAAATAAACCCTGGAGGCATGAGCAGAACTGTGATTTGCAAAGTGTGGGACCCGCACAGAATGGCCCCTGGACCTGCGAGCTTCGTCACAGAGGGTCAGAGGCCACCAAGATGACAAAGGTCGTGAGAAGGAAATCCCAGGGAGGCTCCTGAGCCACGCGGGGAACATGAGGCAGCAGCGGCAGGTGCAGCTACGTAGCCATGGCGCAGGGGAGGTGGGCAATGCAGGAGTGTCAGGAGGGCGGCTTTGAGTGGGGACCCCAGTGCAAGGCGTCTCATCAGCTCCTGCTGCCTCGCCAGGTACCACAACGTGGGCATCCTCGTGCTCTTCCTTCATGACATCAGCGACGTGCAGCTCGAGTTCACCAAGCTCAACATCTACTTCAAATCCCGCGGGGGCGCCCACCACCGGCTGCACGCCCTGGCTGCAGACCTGGGCTGCCTCAGCTTCGGCTTCAGCTGGGGGGGCGCCCTGAAGGGGCGGGGCCTATGGTGTGGGCGGGGCCAGAGAGAGAAGGACAGGGCACCTAGTGATGTGATAGGACCAGGCACCCTAGGGGAGGGGCTTAGTTATGTAGGCGTGGCCTGGAAGGAAAAAGGAAAGGCCAGGATGGGAATGGGGTGGAGCCTGGAGATGTGGGCGTGCCATGTGGGGGAAGAGGAGGGGCTTAGGGATGTGGGCGGGGTCATGCAGGCCCACGCTAAAAGATGTGCTTCCTGTAGAGCAGTAAAGGGGAAAGGTCAGGCAGGAAAGGAGGTGAAAGGTAGCGATGTGGGCGGTGCCATGCAAAAAAAGGAGGGGCTTAGCTGGATGTGGACATGGCCATGCAGAAACGGGGGTGGCCTAGAGATGTGGGTAGGGCCCTGTAGCAGAGGGAGACCAGGCAGAGAAGGAGGTGTGACTCAGGAATGTGAGCAGTGCGATGCAAAAAGGGGAGGGGCCTAGCACTGTGGGCGGGGCCAAGCCGGAATGGGGGTGGCCTGGAGATGTGCCTGGGGCAGTGCAGAAAAAGGAAGGGGCCAGGCATGGAAAGAGGTGGGACCTAGAGATGTGGGTGGTGCTGCGTAAGAGGAGGAGGGGCCTAACCGAGTGGGCGGAGCCACGCAGAACTGGCCCCACCCGTAGAGATGTGGGTGGAGCGATGCAAAGTAGGGGGAGGGGCCAACAAGAAAGTGGGAGGGGCTGGGAGAGAAGAAAGTAGGTGATTGGCTAGGGGCCAGGAATAGAAGGGGTGGCCTCTAGGCCCCTCCCCGTTTCTGCACTGGAGACTGGCACGGGTGGGTGGGGATGGGACAGGGAAGCAGGGACGGCCAGATGGATGGACAGGACCTCCAGCCCCCCCGCCTCCCCCGCAGGTTCTGGTTCCGGCTCTACTGGTTCCCGCTCAAGGTCCTGTACGCGACGTGCCACTGCAGCCTGCTGGCCGTACCCGACATCCCTTTCTACTTCTTCTTCAACGCCCTCCTGCTGCTCCTCACCCTCATGAACCTCTACTGGTTCCTGGTGAGTGGCTTTGGTCACCAGTGGCAGCTCGAGTTCTCGTCCCCGCCCCACCCGTCTCGCGCATGCCCAGGAGGCCAGCAGGTGCAAAGCGCTGTTAGGAGGCCCCTCCGCTAAGGAAAGGGGTTCCCCCTCACCGGTGCCTCCCTCCCCCCTCTGCAGTACATCCTGGCATTTGCCGCCAAGGTGCTGACCGGACAGGTGCGTGAGCCGAAAGACCTGCGGGAGTACGATGCGCCTGAGGCCCACAGCCCCAAGCCCAGCAAAGCCGAGTGAGTGCCGAGGGGTCTTCGCCCCACCTTGATTCTCTCAAAGATTGATTGATTGATTTCCATTTGTTATTCCTATTTAAAAAAAAAACATTTGACCAGAGAGAGACAGAGAAAGAGAGAAAGGGAAAGTGAGAAAGCAAGACACCAGATCCAGGACTCGAACCGTCGTTAGCCATCTCTGGGAATCCAGTGCCTTTAACCCCCATGCTATTGGCCCCATTCAATTTTTTTTTCTTTTTTTTCCTTTTTTTGGAGAGGTTTTTGCTATAGGGTGCATGCGCTCGCCAGACAGAGAGAGACAGAGAGACAGAAAGTGAGAAATCACCCCCCGGGGGAGATGGCCACGCCGCAATCCCTTCTCCTCCATTCTCCTCTCGGGATCTTGGACACGTGCACACACATGCGCCCGGCGTGAGTTTAAGCCACTGGGTCCGGGACTCAAACCGCAGTCGACTACGTGGGAGCCCACACGCGCCGGGGGGGAGTAAAAGCCACTGGGTCCGGGACTCGAACCATAGTCGACTACGTGGGAGTCCAGCGACATAGCCATTACGCTAACTGCTGGTCCCTCAATTTTGTTTTTTTTTAATAGTGACTTTATTTAAGTTTATTTACTTGTTTTAATTTGACCAGAGAGGGGCAGAACAGGAGAGAGGGAACATGAGAAAGCAGGCTGCCAGGTCTGGGACTCGAACCGTGGTTGACCATGTGGGAGTCCAGTGTCCTTAACCACCATGCCACCTGCTTTTTGGGGGGAGTTTTTTAAGAAGTGGTTTTTAGGGTCTGGCAGGTAGCATGGTGTTTAGGATGCTGGACTTTTACATGGCGAACTATGGTTCGAGTCCTGGGCCTGGTGGCTTGCTTTCTTGGGAGTCTAGCGCCCTTAACCACCATGCCACCTGCTGGCTCCACACCACCCCTGGGGGATGATTTCTCGCTTTCTGTCTCTCTGTGTGTCTCTCTTTCTGGTGAGCGCATATGCTCTATAGCAAAAACCTCTAAAAAACAAACAAAAAAACAAACCAGAGACAGCGATACAGGGGTGGGCAGCCAGCCTCCGAGATGACAGCTGTGACAGACAGGATGGCAAGAAAGTGAGAGACCAGGAGGGCTGTTAAGGGGGTAGGTGATAGGGGGTGAACGTCGGGGAGCAGCCAGGGCCAGTGCCAGGGGCCGGCGTGGCCAGAGCACGTCAGGCAGCGCCCCGTGGGG